TACTCCGGACATATTGTCAGGAGGGACCAGTCGCTGGCGAAGAATATCATGTTTGGTAAGGTGGAGGGTCAGAGAAAAAGAGGAAGACCCCCAGCGAGATAGATTGGCAAAGTGGCAGCATCAATGGGCTCAAGCGTGGCAACAATTGTGAGGTTGGCCCAGGATCGGGCAGTGTTTAGTACTGTTGTGCATAGGGTCGCTATGAGTTGGAACCGACTTGGAAACCTGTACAGGGTTTCCGAGGCTGTAAATCTTTACAGGAGCAGAAAGTCACATGTTTCTCCTGCAGAACAGCTGGTAGTTTCGAACTGCTGACCTTGAGGTTTACCGCCTGATTCGTAACCACTATGCTACCAGAGGCACAAAGTGACTGGCTTACAAGTTTTCAAGAGGGAGTTTAGTTTTAGAGGGTGCGGGGGAAGGTAGAATCCCCACTGAATAGTTTCCATCTTGTCTAGACAGGTCTGGTGAAAGGAGAAGGGGATAAGATTCTTCTGATTCAATAGTAAATATTATCATGACTAATTATGACTGTCAGAAGTTTTGTAACATAAATGGGGGAGTAGTTAATCTTATAGTCCAGTAACAAGAGTACCTAGGACCATGGTGGAATGTGGGACCAGATCTAGAGAAGCAGCAACACCAGAGATGGAAGCAGAGGTGAGGACATGGTGAGAAGGAGCAGCTGAGGACTCTGGACTCATGGAAAGAGAAAGGCTGTGTGCTGGGGGGGGGGCACCTGGCAGGCTTGCCGAATGTGCCCTTTGGTTGTTTAAATGATTATATATTCCTAAGTGTTTTGTGTACATCCAGAAACCAGAGGGAATAGAAGCAAATACTGTTGAATGATGACACACAGAAATTGTAATTATTGTAATGAAATGGTGAGTGGGAAAGCGATGTTCTCCCATGTAAACTATCACTCAATTCACAATAAAAACATATATTTTAAAAAAGGGAAAAAACCCCACTACTGATTGTGGTAGTGTGTCATGGAGTTGGTTCTGACTCATAGCGACCATGTATTGGATTTCCAAGGCTGTAAATCCTTAAAGGAGCAGAAAGCCTCATCTTTCACCAGCAGGGTGGCTGGAGATTGTAAATGCTTATCTTGAGGTTAGCCACCCAATTCATAACCCACAATGCTAGCAGAGTTCCTTATAAAACACTACTACAAGAAACTGAAAGAGTCCTACAAAAATGGAAGAATATACCGTGCTCATGGATAGGAAGACTTAACGTTGTGAAAATGTCCACATTACCCAAAGCAATCCCAATCCAGTTTCCAGCAACATTCTTTAAAGAGATGGAAAAACTAATCCTGGACTTCATATGGAAAGGAAAGAGACTCCAAAGCATTACTAAAAAAGAAGAACAAAATAGGAAGCCTCTCACTTCCTCATCACAAAACTTTCTACAAAGTCACAGTAATCTAAACAGCCTGGTACTGGTACAATGGGAGCCATACAGATCAATGGAACAGAATGAGAACCCAGAAGTAAAGCCATTCACCTGTGCTCAAGTGATCACTGACAAAGGACAAAACACATTCAATAGGGAAGAGACAGTCTCGTCAACAAAGGGTGCTGGCAAAACCACAATTCATTTGCAGGAGAATGAAACTAAAGCCTTATCTCACACTATACAAAGACAAGCTCAACGTGGATTAAAGACCTAATTGTAAAACCTAGAACTATAAAGATCAGCAATTAAAAAACAGGGACAAATTTAGGGACTAAGATATATGGCATAAATATACTATCAAACAGAATCGAAGCCATCAACAGCAGAAGACTAAATGACTGGGATCTCCTAAAATGTAGACACTTGTGTGAATCAAAAGATTTCACCAAAGAGTAAAAACAGAACCCACAAACTGGGGGAAAAAAAATTGACAATGATATATCAGACAAGGGACTACTGTCTAAAATTATAGAACACCTTGATAGGAAGGCAAAGAATCCAATTAAACACTGGGCACAGGATGTGAACAAACAGTTCACCAAAGATGTCATTCAGGTGGCCAACAAACCTATAAACAAATGCACATGATCCCCAGTCATCATTGTTACTACAGGACATGTTGGTTCAACTCATAGCAACCATGTATTATGGGGTTTCTAAGCAGCAGCGGTGGATTGAAACTGCTAACCTTGTGGTTCAAAGTCCAGTGCTGATCCTACAGCGCCACTCCCAGAGTCCTCAGAGAGCTGCACATCAAATCAATAATGAGACATGGTCTTATTCCAGCATCAGCAGCCAAGTCTAAAAAAAAGCAGAAACCCACCAATGCTAGGAAGGGTGTGAGAAGGACACAGTTGGGAAGGGCTGTAAAACAGTACAACCGCTGTGGAGAACAGTATGGCACTTTCTCAGAAAGTTGGAACCAGAAATATTGTATGATGCAGTAATCTCTCTACTTGGTAAGTATCTTCAAGAAATAAGAGCTGTAACACAAAATAAATACGTGTATGCACACCCACGTTCACCACAGCATTAGTCACAATAGCAGAAAGATGGAGGCAGCCTAGATGCCCATCAGCAGAGGAATGGTTGAACAAACATTGGGACAGACACACAATGGAATATTATGCAACACTGAAGAAAAATAAGGATGAATCTGCAAAACACTGCATAGCACCAAGGAACCTGGAGGACATTATGCTGAGGGAAATTAATCCACAGTAAACGGACAGACATTGTATGAGACCACTACTGTAAAAAGTCAAGAAAAGGTTTTCATCCTGTAATCAATTTTCTATGATGGTCGGGGGGTGGGGGAGCGCGGGGGAGAAGGAGACTTACTCACTGGGCAGAGTGTAAACATGTGCTAACTTGGGAAGGCAGTTAAAAAGAAAAGGAAGGAAGAGAAGGGGGGAAAAAAAAAGGAAATTGCTAAACACACACAAACGAATCTATTAAAACCAGATCCATTGCAACCCCACAGGACAGAGGATTGTTCCCTAGGGGGTTAGAGATGAACCTTTATGGAAGCTGACTACCACAGTTCTCCCTCCGCATGGCTGGTAGGTTCTAACCTCAGACCTTTTAGTTAGCAGCCCAATGCTTAGCCCACGGCACCACCAGGGCGCCTAAGATTTTCGGATTGGGTAGAATCAGGCCACATGCAGGAAGGCATTCCACCAGCCACCAACACAGATTATGTGGACTGACAAAATGAGGAAGCGAGAGCAGGTCATTTGTGAGTGGCTTACACAGTTTCCTGTTGAACCGCTGTGAGGATTTCATTGGTTAAGGAGGGGACAGTCCTGTCAGAGTCTCACTGGTCAATGAGAGTGACCCGTCGATAGGCATGCTCAGTCTGGAGGGCCTTGTCACTGGACTGATGTCATCTTGTCAACAGTATGACTCCATTTTGATTGAACAACACTTACAAACCTGCTTGATTTGGTTGTGGGCTGACCCTGCCTCCTAGTGCTCCCTGTGTCTGCTGCCATCCTGCCCATGTGCTGGTCACATTCTGATGCACTCCCAGCTTTGTGCCACACTGTGTGATGAAGACCATTGAACAGAATGTGATTTGTCCTTGATGTTTGGAGACTGTCCTTCCTGAGGGCTCTAGACCACAGCTGAGAGTTTAGACTCAGGATGGGGCTGCGCCCTCAAGAATGACCCCCAAGTGATGGCAGCTCAACCTCTGGGGAGGGGGAGGGGCTGGAGACTGAGTTCTGCCATGTGACCAAAGGTTCCATCGATCAGGTTGGCCTACTTATGCCCTGGAGTCCCAGTGTGGCACTGTGGGTTAATGTGCCAGACTGCAAAGCCGTTTGAACTGCAAGGTTGGTGGTTCAAGCTCACCAGCTGCTCCTTGGAAACCCAATTCAGGGTCACTATGAGTCACAACCGACTCGACGGCACTTAACAACAACGACATCCTACAAAAAGGAAGCCAGAGGGCGTCTTGGTTGGTGACAAGACAAGTACTGCACAGGAGGGTGACATGTTCTTGAGGACGCTCACAATGGGGCCCCTCTCAGACCTAGTTCTTTTCTATCCTTTTTGCTGTAATGAGACTACAATCCTAAATACACTGCTTTCCTGAGTTCTGAGTGTGGTTTAGCAAATACTGGTCCTGAAGGGCTAGTGGGAACCCCTGATTACATCCTTAACAGGTCTGGAGTGTGGATGTCCCTGGGATCCCCGAACTTGCAGATGGCAGTCACCCTTACTCTGGCGGTATCAGGATTGGGTGGGTCACAGACATGCCCCTGCATTGCCCACTGCAGACACCAGAGCCTCAGTGAGCCCACCGACAAGCAACTTTTCAAAGCAGAGGCCTTCGGTGTTGAAGCCTGGAGCTGTGCATTGTTGAGTGGGCTGTCTAGACCCCCTGGCTCTGTAATGCTGGCCTCAAGCTCAGACCCTATCCTGGGAAGCCCACAGCGACTCTGGAGTCACCATTCACCCTGTAAGAGCACCCACCCGAGCCACTGGTCTCCCAGGTCTCGTCACATCTCTCTCTTCTAGGCCCCAGATTTGGGCCACACATCTACTACAGCTACACAGACTGACTTGGAATGTAGGTGGGCCTGCAGCCAGAGGGGCATCCGGGCTGTGGCCTGAGGACTAGGGATGAGCTGAGGGCTCTCCTGGAAAACCAGGAGCCCAAGGAGATTGTCCATTCTCTAACAAATGCCAACTGCCCTCCTCCCGGAAGAGGACACAGAGCAAGGCTGGCTTCTCGCTTCCTCTCTGCACCAGCCGGGAAGGAGCTGGCCCAGCTACCGGCGCCAACATCACTCAGCCCAGGACCTCAGGGAGGCGTGACCAGGACTGCCACCCAGAGACCTCAATGCAGCTGCGGCCACAATCAAACTTAACTGTGCCCAGAGGGATCGTGATCTGTGGAATTTCAGCTTGAGGATGGAATGCCAGAACATTCCGAGTGGCCCGGGGACTGGTGGGCGGTGGTTTGGGGGCGGGCAGCAGGGGGACCACCAACCTGGCCTCCTGTTCATAAAGCTGGGGTGATCACACGCCCTAGCTCTGAAATGCCGGCGAGCGCTCCACGGTTTCTTCAGAGCTAAGGGGGAGGTGGGGAGTGTTGTAACAAGTGCCGTCGAGTCGGTTCCGACCCATAGCGACCCTGTATTGGGGTTTCCGAGGCGCGGCTGGTGAGTTTGAACCGCCAACCTGTGGTTCAAACCGACCTTGCCAACGAGTGCTTTGCCTACAGCGCCACACCAGGTGGTGGTGGTTACGTGCCCTGTTCGCAGACTCCAAATGCTCAGCCTGCTGCGCTGCGTCTTCATCACCGTTACTGCGGCGGCCGTCTTCCGTGAAGGTGTCAGGTCACCGCCCACCCAGGCATTAACCTGCGGCCGCACGCTTTCTGCTGGCCCTACACCGCCGCCGGAAACGCCTCACGTGATATCCCGGGCACGCCAACTTCCCAGCAGCTCCCCGCCCGGCCGCGCGAGGTTGGGACCCGGCGCGAAATCCGTCCCGCAGGGCGGCAGCGCGCAGGCGTAGTGTGGCGTGTGGTCGCCATCGGAGCGCTCCCGGCTTGCCCCGCGTGCGCGCTGACGTCGGCGTAGCCTCGTCCCCGCCGTCGCCTCCGCCGCGCCGCCATTGGAGTCGCCGCTTTCTCAGAGCGCCCGCGTCCCGGCCTGCCGC